GGCTTTTTTCAAGCGTCTTTTCCTGAGAAAATACCACTTTCTCAACAGTGTATTGTATGTATTTCCCAAATTTTTGTGTCTCTTTTCTGTCTTCTAGAAAACTGTCCTCTCGTGTCTTCTAGACCATGTTTTTTGGAGTTCCGGTCTGTCTAAATTTTGGCCCAACCAAAACTGATATTTTTGTACTTAAATTCTGGTACAACACTCAACAATGATGCCGTTCTTGTTCTTCAGCAAAGAATTCAGGAGCACCACAGGTGAATCTTGTTCAACATGCTTGCTTTTCTTCTGGATCAAGCGGATCTCTCTCACGGTGCTCCCAAATCTGGGAACCACTATTTGAAGACATTCATTGTTGGAATGACAGTTAAAGCCACTGTGATTTTACAAGATGAATTTTTGTTCAGGCAGTGGCTGAGAGGCCATAAAAGAGAGATGCAAAGATGATTCAACCATCTATCTGCTTGTAGGACAAACTTTGACCCACTTCATTTCAGAAGGGCCAGCCTGAAATTGCTCTACACTCCAACAGCTGCTTGCTATTAAATTATTCCTGGATATGAGGTGCTCTGCATGAATCCCGGATATGGGTGCGGCTTTGAGTTGGCCAAGATTGCCGACTGATACCACGAACAGGAGAGTCTCTTCCATGGTGACACCAAAGTGCATTCATTCCATGGGATGATTTACTGGTTTGCCCCGGCACTCCTACAAACAAGTTAATGTTAATTTTGTGGGGTTTTGTCTTCTCTCAGCTTTTTAAATTTCATTTTTTAGGGGTCTTTTCCTTTTTTTTCCTCCAAAGTGAAGGAAAGATGGGTGAAAATCTCATAGGTTAAATGTGCAGTTCTGACATGTTAAGTTTGGAGGTGGTGTGAAGGTCCCCTTTCACTGCACAATCATCTGTTCTGTGGTTTGCAGGCTCCTTGTCACCCCATGTTTTGACTAAATCCTGATTGATTGATTGATTGATTGATTGATTATGTGCCATCTAGTTCATGGCAACTCTTAGCAACCATATAGATAGATTTTCTCCATGACAATCTATCCCTAACCTGATCTTTCAGGTCTTCCAACGCTGCCCCCATCACTGCTACAACTGAGTACATCCACCTTGCTGCTGGGCATCCTCTTCTTCACTTTTCTTCCCATTGATTAATTTATTGATTATGAGCCAGCAAGTCTGTGTCAACTCATAGTGATCACATAGATAGACCTCGTGATCTGTTCCCAAACTAGTCCTACAGTCTTCCAATGGTGTCCTCATCACTGCTGTAACTGAGTCCGTCCACCCCACCACTGGCTGTCCTCTTCTCGTCCTTCCACCTTTCCCAGCATTATGGACTTCTCAAGGAAACTGCTCTTTGCGTTGATTGATTACGTGCCATCAAGCCAGTGTAACTCCTAGGGACCACATTGATTTTCTTCTTCTTTTTATACTCAGTTGATTAAAGATTATAATTACAACAATAAAAACTAATGCACTAAAAAAAATAGAAGAAAAAAGAGAAAGGGTAGAAGGTGCAGAAAAGAATGGAATAAAGGGAAAGAAAGAAAGAAAGAAAAGAAAGAAAGAAAGAAAGAAAGAAAGAAAGAAAGAAAG